GGTAAGTGTATTAGTAAGGGGAGAGAAAAGCAAAAAGAAAGAATACACATTTACTTGCTGTATCTTGAAAGGTCCTGGCGGGATGTAGATGGTATACTCAAAATGGATAAGTGGATTTTGATATCACATCTGCATTAATAGAGATATGTGTAATATATTAGGAAACCAGAGAAAAGGTGGTTCATAATTTGGAGACAAATTAGAAAGAAAGTTTCTATACTAGTGGCATTTGAGTAAGAACTTGAGAGATGAAGAGGAGATTTGTAAGAGGAGAATGAGGTGCTAGGCCATGAGAGGGAGAGAGAGCAAGAGAGAGTGAGAGCACACCCTTGTGCGCAGAGCAAAGGCCAGAAGAATAAAAGTATAGACTGTGGTTTGGAAGAGTTGGTAGTCTGGTGTGAGTGGACCATTAGTGGCTTGGCGGGGAGGAAGGGACATGAGGTAAGCAAAGTAGAATGAAAAATACTTGACGGCCATGCTGTGGAGTTTGAACTTTATTTTCTAGGTCAGTGTCCTCAAAATGTGGTTCCCAGACCAGCAGTATCAGCATCATCTGGGACCTTGTTAGGAATGAAGATTTGGGGGCACAACCTCACATCTACTGGGTCAGAAACTCTGGGGGTGGGTCTTAGCAATCTGTGTTTTACTGAGCCCTCCAGGTGATCTGACACAAGATCAGGTTTGAGAAGCACTGCTCTAGACATCAGGGAGTCACTAAAGGCACTTCATCAGAGGACTGATGCAATTGGAGCTGTTTTTTCAAAAGATAGTTTGAGGTGGGAGGAAGAAGGGGGAAGGGGACAGAGTCTTTAGGGGGCATTCCAGTGATTCTGGTGGGGGAACAAGGAAGATGCCAACTGGACAGTGAGCTTTGAAATGTGGGAGAGGCAGGACTGGTGACAATAGATTTGTGGGGTATGGGTGTGGACAAAGAATGTCACCTGCCATTTCAGTGAAGAAAGGATGTTTTGGCTCTGAAGCCATCAAACACTGCAGCTGTCTTCCCCCACACCTGACCCCCACAGTGCACCCCAAGGGGAATTCAGGGTGGAGAAAAAGAGGATACTGGCTCTAGGTAGTGAAGATGCATAGTTTCGTGCTTTTCTATGTATATGGCTTATTGAAATTTTCCTTTGATTTGCATCTTAACTTGAAAAGCAGTGGCACAGGGTGGGGTAAGGGGTGAGAACCCAAGGTATTGCATAGCATTTTATCTTAGTTTGTTCTCACCTTCACTGACCTGATGTGCACCTCCCCAACAAATTGTTACCATCTTACTCTTTGCCTAGGGCTCTGTGTTTTAGAGGCTGCAAGTCTCAATTAATAGAAAAGGAAATAGTGCCCAACTCCCATATGGAAATCAAGGCAAAAACAGTACCAAACCAAAAGATAAGTGTAAGGAAGTCCAACAAAAGTTTGGTTTTTCTCCTAATGGCTGCTTTGATGCTATCTGTGATGTTGTGATTTATAATAAGAACATATGTTTGGTCTTCATCCCCATTTCTGGCACTGAGCTCCTAAAACCCTTGAAATTTCCGCAGTGCTGAGAGTGAAAAGTGTTCTTTTGTTATGTTAATGAGGTGACTTTTGGGAAGCACCTAAGGTTGGGGGCTGGTTGCCAGAGAAACCAACCGTGATTAGAGGGTTGGAACTTTCAGTCCAGGGAGAGGAGAGGGACTGGAGATTGAGTCCAATCACCAATGACCAACGACTTAATCAGTCATGTCTATGTTTTTAAGCCTACATAAAAATCCAAAAGGACGGGGTTTGAAGAGCTTCTGGGTTTCAATTCACTTGGAGATTTGGGGAGAGTGGCTGTTGTCCAACTGAAGTTCGTGTGCCAGATGCACAGTGAGGCCAAACAAACTGAAATGTTGGAGTTTGGAATGGAGAAAGGTTTATTGCAGGGCCAAGAAAGGAGAATGGACGGCTCACGCTCAAAAGACCCAAATTCCCTGATGGTTTTTGGGGAAGAGTTTTTATAGGCAAAATTGGGTTGGGGAGAGAGCTGCAGGGTGTGTGACCTCCCTCTGATGGTTTGGTGGGGAGGTAACTGGGTGGTGTTCCTGGAATCTCAATCATCAGCTGTCTGGTTCCACCCAGTCTGAAGTCCACATGCTTGTTTTCAGCCTGAAGTTACCATCCTCCACCTGGGTGGGGACCTTAGTTCCTGTAGAAGAACTCAGAGATGATAAAAGAAATTTTCACATGTTGAGGTAAAGGGAAGTCCTTCTGGCTTATGCATGAGTTAACTTGAATTATATGCTAACTAGAATAGCCAGTTTGTGGCCTATCAAACATACACTGTACATCTGCTTTAATTATTAAAGAAAAGGGTGCATTGACCAGAAGTAAAGAATGTCCATGTTAAAAATAAAGATTAAATGCCTCCCTTCCTGGGATGCCAATGCTGGTACTCCTTTGATGATGAGAATACCTTCCCAGGTGCGAAGGCCATACTACTTGCTGTGTACGTCCTGATGTTTTTGGGGGGTTTTTTTGTTTTTGAAACCTTGAAGGAATGTATCCCTGACTTGTTGGATGTTCTTTGTTCTGACAAGACATAAAACTGTGCTGAAAACCATGCTTCTCCAGAGCAGGTCTCAAGAGTTATCTGAGAGGCTGTCTTCTGGGCTATAGCCCTCAGTTTGGCTCAGATAAAACCCTTTTCTATTCCTATTATAAATTGTTTACTGATTATTTTTGTGGACAGAGATATGTATCCGATTGTTATGTATGCCCCTTGAGGAGGAACCAGGAGCCTGCCCGTTGCTGCATTATTGCTTCTTGACTGCCTTTCCTTTGTTTCTGCATTCCCTCACTCCTCTAATTAGTAACTGTTTGAATCTGCCCTTTGGAACTCAGGGAAGGTCTAGGAGGCTGAAACCTTTTTCCTACAAACAAGAAATGGGGGACACGGAAATGCTTTCATACCCAGAAGAGCCCCACAGGGTTCTGCTCGGTTTCGTGGCGCACCTGGAAAAGGCATGGAAGCTCCATGCCCTTTCCCCATATGCATCTCTTCCATCTGACTGTTCCTGAGTTATATCATTTTATAGTAAACCAGTAATCTAGTGAGTAACCTGGTTTCCTGAGTTCTGTGAGCTGCTCTAGCAAATTACTTGAACCCAAGGAGGGGGTCATGGGAACCTCTGATTTTATAGCCATTGGGTCAGAAGCACAAGAACAATCTGGACTTGCAATTGGCACCTGAACTGGAGGGCAGTCTTGTGGGGCTGAGCCCTTACCTCTGGAATCTGATGCTATCCCCAGGTGGAAAGTGTCAGAATTGAGTTGAATTGTAGGACACTCAGCTGGTGTTGGATTGCTTCGATGTATGGGGGAAAATCCCACACATTGAAATTGGATGCAGAAACTTACTATCTTTAGGGAGACATCAAATATCTCAATATTATTTGTAATTCTCTTTTTTTTTTTTGGAGAAAAAGGTGCCCTAATTTGCTGGGGCCTAGTGAGCCACTTCAGTAATCCAGCACTAATGCTAGAAAGGTGAAACAAAAACTCTTGCAGCAAGGAGAGGCAAGTGTAGTTTGATGGGTTATTATGTAGAAGGAGAGAAGTGATGAAACCTGCAGCCTACCTTTACCTTTGTAGTAACCTATGTGTTAAGGAGGAAAAATACTAAGAAATGTGATTTTTACAGCTGAACGTGGCAGCAGTGAAGTCAACAGTAAAGTTCTATTGTGATACTATTTAGCAAAAGCTACACACAAAATCAAGCAAAGACCTCTGCCCACGTGGTATGTTGTACACTGTATGTATTGTAGGAAACACCCAGAATCTAAACCTAAGGAAAAAGAAGTGGGAAGGAACGCAATCTGTTCCTAAAATGGATATAACTTTATTTTAGCAGATATCAATGATAATACCTTCCACAGAGCAAGAGCAGTAATCCGAAGGCTCACCAACCACACTAGGAAACTTGCGTACACGTTGCAATCAAGGATCCAGACCTTAGCAGGGACCAAACTTTTGCTTTTTTGAAGCAAATTTAGCTAAAATATCCATAGATACAAAACAATCGTAACTCTAAGACTTTAATGAATCACCAAAAACTAAATGTCTAATGTGATTTTTTTAAAAAAGACATATCATTTACCTTAAACTTCCTCAACTCTCTGGACAAAGAAAAAGATTCTGGGTTTTTAAGTTCTTCAAACAGGAATTCCTCAGAGGAAATCTGCTTTGAGCACTGTGCAGGAATCCATTTCTGAGAGAAGCTCAGAATAATGGGGAGTCCTCAGCCTCCTCCATGGAGGAAAAGACCCCTGTAGGAGACAGTACAGCTCTAGGGCACAGAAGCCTTGGAGCCAGACTAACTCCTTCGAATCCCAGAACTTCTGCTTATTAATTATGTGATCTTTGTCAAGGTACTTATCCTCTCTGTGCATGTTTTCTCAGTTATGAAACAGGGATGCCAATAGTATCAATCACACAGATATAAAGCTCTCATAAAGGGGACAAAATAAGTATACAATATTAACTATTACTGTCTGACCAAAAAAACTGTGTGTACACGTATCTTTAGGAAAAGAAAATGACATCTCTTTCATCATTTTTGGAGAGAGGCTGGGACATGGATAACGAGATAGTATGCTATTAAAACTTTCTTCTGACTTGAGGAACCATTTAAAAGTAAATTTTGACATGTCCGTATTCCTTATGGTAGGCACGACTCTAGCCTTTTCTCTGTCCAGACAATTTTAGGGAGACATATTTTAAGGGAGAAAGCACTGACGTGGTAGGACTTAGCAAAAGGGAGGAAAAGGGTTTTTTCTCATTTTTCTCATGAGAGTCTATGGAGATTCCTGTGATTTATCTGTTAAAACTGCAAGCGGGGTATACATAAAAGTACAATAGGGCTTCCCTGGTGGCGCAGTGGTTGAGAGTCCGCCTGCCGATGCAGGGGACATGGGTTTGTGCCCCGGTCCGGGAAGATCCCACATGCCGCGGAGCGGCTGGGCCCGTGAGCCATGGCCGCTGAGCCTGCGCGTCCGGAGCCTGTGCTCCGCAACGGGAGAGGCCACAACAGTGAGAGGCCCGCGTACCGCAAAAAAAAAAAAGAAAAAGTACAGTTATATCCAGAGGGAAAAATGTTCAGAGATGGGTAGCATTACTAGGGCAGGGGAAGTGCACACCATATGGCAGGTTATAGGAATCAGCAGGGAGCAAGGACAAAGTTAGAGGCCGGTCAGAGTTCAGAGGTCATGAGTTCTGGAGTAAGAAACTCCGTTTCCCAAATAAGTGGTGAGGACTCCAGAGCTGTCTTCCTTACTCCTGCCTCTGCCAAAGATTTAGGGAACATGTTTCTCTGCGGGGTTACTAGCAACTTGAGTCAGGCAGCAAACATTTATTAAGCACCAACTGTTCACCAGGCTCTGTGTTGTCAAAAATAATAGCCTTATTCCCTTTATTACCAAGGTTGCTCAGTCTCTGTCCTGGCCACTCCTCTGGCCATGGTGCAGGGAGGTTAACGGAGGTCTCTAATTTTCCATAACCAAAGCCTTCCTCCCACCCGACCACCCTTCACATTAAGGTTTTACTTTTAGGGTAGGGATCAAAGAGCAAACAGACAAAACTGAGGGACTACCCGAGAGATGGCAATAAAAGGAGGATCCACTGACAGCTGGTACTTCAGCTGAACAACACAGAAGATGATTTCAGATCCACAGAACTCCACCCCTCTAGCCTCCACAAAGATGACACGAGAATGAGGCACACTACCTCTGCAGCAAGATTACACAGATCTTCCAGAAAATGTAACACTCCAGAAATGACAGACCAGCAGATTCTTACTCTTACACAAAGCACTTCTTTTTTTTTTTTTTCTGGCTGTTCAGCCAGGATTTTAGTTCCCCAACCGCAGGATCAAACCTGTGCCCCCTGCAGTGGAAGCGCTCGGAGTCCTAACCCCTGTACCGCCAGGGAATTCCCCACAAACCACTTCTTGAGATGAAACAGTTTTAAAGGTGTTTTTACATAAGGATTTAGATTAGAATTTACTCTGCTTCTTCAACTGTGCCTTTTGCAAGCTTGGCTCAACTTATCCTTCCAATACTCTTCTTACTCAATTCCTTTATCCTTCAGCTCCTGTTTGACGCGTTTCAGATAGCCAGGATCAGGGTAGCCATACCTGCAGAAGAAAAAGGCCCTTAGCTTCATCACAGATGGTTTTAAAGAATCTGTACAGTAGGTCCCTGGCATTAGCCTTCAGTGTTGCAAGTATTCACAAGCAATCCTGAAGGCTGATTTGTAAGTGCGCTGCTGTGAGTCATTTCGCTAGTGAGCAGGCCTAGCTGTCTGCCCAGGATCTGCATTCCAACAAGACTTTAATTTTCAGCTCATGGTAAGCAATGACTCTTATAAAGTTATAATATACTATATTTTTAGGGACGGTAATCATTTTGCTACAGGAAGATTTTCAAATTTGGGAAATTAAGTCTTAAGATGTATTCCCTTTTGAATATTAAGGGTCTGAGGTATTCTATCTGAATTTCATAAACAGCAATTGGATTGCCCATAATACAACTTCCATCCCCATTAAGTAAGACTTTTTCTAGAGTTCTGTTAGCCAAGTGAATTTAGGATCTCTATGGACTCATGGGAGGGGAGGGTAGAAGAAAGGGTGATCTTAAAAGAAGACGAAGTAAATAACATTCCTAGGATCTACCCTTCAAATAGACATGAAACCCCAAATTAAATCACCTTAGATACCATTCATCTTGGATTCTGAAGATCTGCTGCCCACTGATGCAAAATTTATTAACTGTATGACGCTTTGTGGTTGGGAGGGTAGAAGGTCATAGGAAGCAATCTTTCTGTCTTTGAGATTATCACCCCAGATGAGCATCTGTCAAAACACTGCATCCAATCCCACTGCTAGAAACTGTCTCCTTGCAGTCACATCCTCAAATTGCCATGTTTTACGACCTCTAAATTCTGTTTAGCAGCCATTCTGTTTCAAAAGCTTCTCACCTTTCTGGTCCCCCACACCTGGACGTTTTGTGGTGGATATCATTCCACGTAATGACATCTGAGACTCCTAATACTCGAGAGTCTCCCACTGTGAAAATCAGTTTTTGGTCAAAGGCCCTACGAAGCAGCCGCAAAACCTCTCTTCCTTCCTCGTTATCAGGCAAGTATGCAGTTCGATATATTCCAGAAAATCTCTTTCCTGGGTTTGGGTGCTCTTTCTATATGAAGGCAAGAAAATGTCACATGAAAACATTGTGTCAGAATTTTACTAGATGTGTAGATGTGTTCATATGCATATAGAACAAACAAAAATCAACAAAAGTATTCAAGGTTTGCTCACGTTCCCCATATAATTCATATTTCTCCTCTTTCCCCAAGTTCATGCTGGGAACACTATCCACCTTCCCGACTTCCCCCACTCCAGCGCACAATCACCACCCACCCTTTCTCTGCCTTAACAGACACAAAAGATACCTAAATTATAAGTAAACACTGTTACCGTTATCAGCATTTAAAATCCTTGCATATGACCATGGAGGTAACTACCTGGGAAATCCACTGTCTAATTGGTAACAGAACAGTCCCCGTGGCTCTGGTGATCCCAGCACACTGGAAAGAAACCCATGGACCTCAGAAACACTTACTGTTTGTACGCCTCCTTCGATTCTGTAAATAATCACAATGGTGCCATGGGATTCATAACCTGGAAGTGAGTCTCTTTTGAAAATGACGTTCATGTTTCCGTCTGGCTGATTCCCTTTCTGGACACCATAGGAAGTCTGGCACAAAGGACAGACTGGCTTATATGACAAGGCTTTCTTGATACAAGGGCTGCAGAAATCATGCTTGCACTTTGGGAGCACTTGTCTGTTACTAATGGTGTTCAAACAGATGGTACATATGTCCTTTTCCTTGTCCACTTCTGACGCCTCAGAACTGGTAGAGCGCTGCGATGTTGGTGAAGCTGTTTTTGAATCATTACTATCCGTGTCCGTGGGTGTTTCATTCCATTTCTCTCTAGCTAATGGAGACGTTCCGCCTCTGTTTAAGACATACTGTTTTGCCTTTGTAAGGTGATTTGGCAACCCAGTCAAAGTCACTGACTCCTGATTTAGCACAAAGTCTACACCTGGATGCCTTTTTCGAAAGTCATCAGAGAACTTGGTCCCATGTAAGTGCTTTCTCTCCTTGCCCAAAAGTTTCAGCCAAAGAACTTCTCTCATAATCTGACCTGAGACATGTTGATAGGCATCAATGAAACTTGAATACGCATGCACAGATAGATCTAACTCCTTGGTTTTAGGTTCAAATAGAATGTAGGTTTTCTGACTTGTTTCCAAAACCTTACTTTGAGTGTCGTACTTCTTCTCGATCTGTGATATCTCCTGGAGTAACTCTGCTTCTAAAAGCTTATAGTGAGCAGTGTCAACCTCAATTCCATTCATCATGTGCTTGGGAGTCGATATTTTCACAGGTGCCTCGACAAGACTTTCAGAGATTTCTGAGGCAAGAAAACGTTTGGCAGCTGCAATGTCATATGTGGTCCCAAGGAGAGTTAATTCTCCTCCTTTCTCCTTTATAAGGAGCCTTGTAAACTGGTGACTTAATTCCTGTCTGATTTTGTGTGCCTGCTTACTGTCTGCCAGGGTAACACATTCCTGCTTCAGAGTCTTCACACGCTTCTGAAATTCTCTGACAAAAGACTCGCAAGCTGCTTCGAGGTTACCTGATTGACTTGAGGTGATGTCTAAACAGACCATATTCGGAGAACTCTTCTGAGTTTTAATTTTTATACCAAACATTTTCTCTATTGAGTATATTTTATCAGGGCAGGTGTATGTGAAGTATTCAAAGAAAGCCAAGGGAACTTCAAAACGGTTGCTTTTTTCTTCCGACATGGTTTTTGGTTCAGAGGGAGAAACACAGCTGTTCCCGTCCTGCTGATGGAGTGGCTCCCTCTCTGTTGTCAAAGGGGAAGATTCTCGTTTCTGCTCCTTTTCCAGGAGTTGTTCACTCAAGAAGCCATGTATTTTTTCAATGTCTCTGAAGTCACCACGCACTTTCTCAATTCCTTCATGGCCCTTCACTCGCTCGACACTGGGGCAGAGAATGGCGATGTGTTCCCTCTGCTCTTTAGAGAACAGGTGACAGTTCAGTTCAGCTGTGACAGTAAGAAAGATCTGAAATTTTAAAAGGGAACAAATAAAATCTATTAGACATCCAGGTCTACGCTCCTCTCAGGAGAATGTCTAGAGACTAGAGAAATAACCGCTGTGACTTCTTTCCAATCCTTTTTGCAAAGCATGCAATGTATTACAACCCAGAGGCACCCAGCCCTGTCTGTATATTAGAATGGCCTGGGGAGGAAAAAAAAAAAAAAAAAAAAACACCCAAGGCCCAAGCACATCTCCAGAGATTCTGATGTAAATGTAGAGCCCGGGCACTAACATTTTAAAAAGTTCCATGGACAGGAAGTCCGGATTCTAGAGCTACCACTCTTGCTTTGACCTTGGGGAGTAGGGCAGAGGGAAGGCACTTTGTTCGACTTTCTGGGTAAATTGCTGTGTCTCTCACTGAAGAGTGTGAGCCTGGGAGGGAGCCATAAATCTGAGGATGATGTTTTTTCCTATTATTGTTTTTTCTCTTCTGCCCTCGTCCTTCTTTCTTTTTTTCTCTTTTTAAAAAACAAAACAAAACTAACCCCCTAACTGTATGCAGTGTTGCTGGGCCCTCTAAACCCTGGCCTTTAGAAGCTCAAGTATAAGACAAACACCAGATTAGGTGAAAAAGGACAGAGGCAAATTGAATGTAATATAAAAGCAAGATTTCTAATGTTTTGTTCTCCCTCGAGGTCTTTGCACAAGCTATTTCCTCTGCATATAACATCCTTCCTCTAGATCTTCAAAATGTTTCCTGAATCCAGCCACTTCTCACACCTCCATCAGGACCACCGGAGTCCAAACCATTGTCACCTTGCGCCTGGCTCACTGCAACCCCTCCTAACTGGACTCTGACCTTCCACTTCAGCCTCTTCCTAGATTCTGTTCTCCACACAGCAGCCAGAGTGATCCTGCAGAAATGTGAATCAGATCACTCTATTCCCCTGCTTAAAACCATCTAAGGAATCTCCTAACATTTAAGTTAAAATCCAAAGTCCTAACCTTCATCCCTCAAAGACCTGACTTCTAGGTACCTCTCCAAGTTCCTCTCTCACTCTCTCTCTCGCTCTCTGCCCTCCAGCCACGCTTATCTCTCTCTTTAAAGCTCTTGGGCTCAGGATGTGAGCTCCTGTCTGGATGTGTGTGGGGAGGGGGGGAGGGGGGGTGTCAACTTTACACTTGTTTTTTTCCCCTCTGCCTAGAACCTTCTTCCCCTAGAAATCCACTTAGCTAGCTCCCTTACTTCATTTGTGTCTCTACTCAGAGGTCACCTCATTTGAGAGGTTTTTCCTGATATCCTATTTAAAATAGTAGTCCTGTTACTATCACTTATCCTGCTTTATTCTTCTTCCTAGCAGATATTTATCACTGGCAGATATTTTATTCCGTATCTATATGTTTACTATTATTGTCTGGTTCCCTCACTAGAATGTTAAGGTCCCTGAGGGCAGGGTCTGCTGTGCTCCTGGCTGATCTCCAGCTCCTGTGACAGTGCCTGGCACACAGTAGGCAGTTGATTTGTCCAATGACTCTGCATGGCTGGCCCCTGCTCATCATTCAAGTCTCAGGCCAAATGTCACCTCCTCAGAGACTCTGACTTCTGGTCGGAAATAACACAGATTCCTTCTCCTTCCTTGCCCTGGCCCTGTCAAGCTCTAAGGCGAAACCCCATTATATTTTCTCCTTAGCACGTATCACTCTCTGAAATGGTTTTATTTATTTTGTTTTCTTGCTTATTGTCTTTCTATGTACCTCTCCCCAGCAGGGACCTGTCTGTTGTGTTCACCTCTGTGTCCCAATGTCTACAACAGTGCCAGGCTCATAATGAATCCTCAGCAAATGGTCCTTGGACTGGAGAGTTAGCTGCAGGAACATACCTAGCTCCTTCAATACTCACCTTCTGGACACAGGAATCCACAGTGCTAGAAATGTCCTTTTCATTTGAATGCTTCTCACCAGGGCTGGCCCCTTTTTGTGACTGTGTCAAAGAAGACATCCTGGTGTTCTCTGCTGCATTGTCATTGGGTTCCAGGAATATAGTCACAGGTTTGTTGTCAACCACAATTTGGTGCTTTCCTTTCTTCAACACTCCCTCCTTACCTTCAGTGGAGACATTAAATACATACATACACATAGAAATGGGAGCAATTTCAAATAATCCTCTTACTCATGCATCTGTACCTTGCCCCAACAACCCTCCCAGTAAGGGCTGCTCCTTGCATATCCTGGAATGGTGGGTTGGTGATAAGGTGAGGGAGCTATTCAAAACTCTAAAGTAGGCAGCTTAAGTTCTACTGTAGAAAGGAAAGCTTAAGGATAATGGAATAGCGTCCACTCATTAAAAGTCATGTTCCTGAAACTGTTGCCAGTTCCCCATTTCCCTGACACTCATTATGAGTTAAGTGAAAACAGCAGGAATCAGAAGTGTAGACTCAGTTTTAGAACTACTATGTGTTTATTGACATTCAGAGGAAAAGGCTGGGAGGAAATATATCAAAATGTTCACATTGTTTCTCTCCAGGTGGTTTTCTTTATTCTTTTCTCCCTTTTCCCTAGCGAGCATATATAACTTTTAGAATTCTCAAAAACAAATCAGTGGAATAATTATGTAAAACATAGAAGTGAAATTCCTAAGTGACAAGGGCTGACAGGCGTCTGGGGGTGGCAAGCGTGTTCTGAGAGCTGAGACATAGGAGTCACGGCGAGGAGACTGCGAAGTATCAACTTTAAGGCACAGTCGGTCCAGGTCAGAGACTGGGCACTTGTGAGCTCTGTCCTACTCTCTGGGTTTGCGCCTCTTGCCAGCAGGACCCCCAGGTTCCTGTCCCCCACCAGACTTTCTCCCGCCCTCTCTCCTAGGTCAGCTTGAACTGGGTCTGCATGGAGCCCCCCACCCCTCCCCTCTTCCCAAGGACGGTGGTTGCCCCCCAGCCCGGGCCCGCAGCTCACTCGCCCTATGCACGAACTGCACCCGGAAGGTGTCCGAGTTGGGGTCGTTGCGGTCCCAGGCCTGCACGATGCACTCCCCGCCGCCCGACTCCCGGCTCTGGAAGTACTTTTCCAGCTTCCATGGTAGGCGGGTGCCGGGATGCGACACCCGCACGAGCAGCGGGGACGGCGGGCAGAGGTTCGAAGCCATGGCTCTCCGCATGGGGATGACGCCGCGACTGGCGACGCCGCTGTGCCGGGCACTGGCAGGGGTGCGTCGGGCCCCGCCGCCCTGGAGCGCAAAGTTTCAGTTTCGCTTTCCCGGAGATCTCTCTCGGTTCCCGGCAGAGCCGCACCCGCCTCTCTTCTCTGCCCTCCCTGCCGCGGACTGCTGGGTGAGTAGGTCGCGTCCCCTGTTCCCGGGGCGATGGGGCGCCGAGGCGCCCGGGTCTCCTCTCCTGTGGACTCGGGCGGGGAACGGGCCGGGGTGAAGCGGTCGAGAGACGCGCCCAGGGCCAAGCCTCCCCTGGTGAGGATGGAGGCTGGGCAGATGCTCAAGTCAAAGAAAGTTTCTCCTGAGTTTTTGATTCCTTTTAACTCCTACTGTTGTTACTATTATTTGCAGCTGAAATGTAATTCATATTCTGAATTCAGGTTAAACTTACCTACATTTTAAAAAAATTTGGATTTGTTCACCTGCGTTGTGACACATCACATGTTACCTTCTCTAACGCTATGCTTTAGACTGGCTCTTGGGGCTTTTCTGCTCTCATTTCTCGATTTGGCCAATACTGAAATGCATGCTGTGCCCTGTGTACTAGGGAATAAAGGTGAAAGGGGAGGCACCTGACCTCACCGGCTGGTAAGGTGAGGTAGACTTGTGACTAAAAAAGCAAAATCTCTTGAAGGCCTTGATAGGAAGTTTGAAGAAGAATCTTAAAAGAGAGAAGGAGAGGGAGGGATGGGGAGCATCAAAAGCACAGAGACCACTGCATCTGAAGCACAGAGGGGACACTGAGGCCTTGGGAAGCCGTGATGAGTAAGGGAGATGACAGAGGAAGGGTCTAGACCAGTGCTGTCCGATAGAAATATAATGTGAGCTACATATTAATTTTAAAATTTTTGGTAGCTATAATTTTTAAATTACAAACAGGTGAAATTAATTTTATGTTATTTAGCTCACTATATCCTAAATTAACCATTTAGGCATGTAATCAATGTTAAAAACTTATTAATGACATATTTTACATCCTTTTTTGTCATCCTGAGTCGTTGCAATCCAGTGTTTATCTCACATTTACATCACCTTTCCGTTGTGATTAGCCACATTTCAAGTGCTCAAGAGCTACGTGTGGCTAATGACCCACACTGGACAGCACAGTTCTAGACAGTGAGAAGTCTTCAAGATCGGTTAACGAGATATGGAAGGCTCGTAGGCAGGGCAAGCAGCAGAGTGACGTGTCAGATGTGCATTTTAGAAAGCTGGTGTTGACAATCATGTGAAGGACACATTTCCATGCAGGGATGAATGGAGGTGGAGAGGCCAGAGGTAAGGTTTTTTTGCACGTGGCTGGTAAGACTGGAAATGGGTGAGTCTTTATGAAGAGCAATTTGGCAGTGCTATCAGAATTACGATTGCATATACATCCCTATTCTGCAGTTCCACTTCTAGGAATTTGTCCCTTTTATTGATTAGCACCTCTGTGAAGTGACCTATGTACTAAGTTGTTCTTTACAGCCTTTTTTATAATAGTAAAAGATTAGAGGGCTTCCCTGGTGGCGCAGTGGTTCAGGGTCCGCCTGCCGATGCCGGGGAAGCGGGTTCGTGCCCCGGTCCGGGAGGATCCCACGTGCCGCGGAGCGGCTGGGCCCCCCCGTGAGCCATGGCCGCTGAGCCTGCGTGTCCGGAGCCTGTGCTCCGCGACGGGAGGGGCCGCGGCAGTGAGAGGCCCGCGTACCGCAAAAAAAAAAAGATTAAAAACTCCTTGTGTCCATAAAAGAGGGTACTGGCAGTTGAATAACTTATAGTGCATCTATGCAATGGAATGCAATGAGCAGTAGAAAGAAGGAAGACCCTCTCTATGTGCCAACATGGAAAGATCTCTAGAATACATTAAATGGAAAACGGAAGATGCAGAGCAGTGTGTATAACATGCTACCTTTTGAGGATGGGCACAGGCTCTGAAGAGCACTCTGACCAAGGTGAAGTCCCAGAGCTTCCTCCCCATGAAGGCAAAGACCCAGAGGTGAAGGAGAGTTTGGAGAACATCGAGTAGTTTCGCAGCACTGTAGTTCCGCCGGAGCATTGGGTATGTAATGGGGAGGCTGGGAAACGGATATGGCAAAGAGACCCTTGAATGCCAGGCTGAAGAGCTTGAGCTTTACCACAGGTGATGGAGTCTGCTGAAGGTTTTGAGCAGAGAGTGCTTTTCAAATAAATGCCTTCTTTGTGAGGAAAAAAAGATGCTTTTGTGTAAAAATGCTTCTGGAAGGACACAGGAGAAGCTAATAACAGTGATTGCCTCTGGGAAGGGAATTTAGTGAGGGGAGTAGGAGGGAGCCTTTTATAGTTTCAAAATTTGAACAATTCAAACAATAAAACATAAAATTAAGTACATTTAAATGTTTAAAAAGAATGTATTGCCATAGCTCAGGCAAGGGCCCCTGAGGCCCTGAAGTGAAGTGGTAACAATGGGCAAGGAGGGTTGGGCCGTATCTGAAAGTGATTTAGGTGGACAAGACCCAGTGATGAGTTGAATATGGGACAGAAGAGAAGATTCTAGATTTCTGACTTGAGTGGATGAATGGTGTATCATTTACCAAGCTGTGGAATCTAGGAGATAAAGCATGGATTTTGGAGGGGGTTGGGTGAGGGTAGGTAGCGGTGCGGAGAGTGGAAATGAGGAGACTATGGGTCCAGTTTTGCAAAGGCTGTGTTTGAGGGGACTATGGGACGTTCAGGTAGTCTTGAAAAGTGAGGCTTAGGAGAGCCTAGAGATACAGATGTGGGAGTCATATTTGCATCTGGTGAGTTGAAGTCGTGAGAGTGGATGAGATCACCCTTTGAGGGTGTACAGAATGAGCTGAGATGTGCCTCTTGACAAAATCCTGGGACAGTTGACTGAGGCTGAATCCAGGGGAAAGGTCTGTAAAGGCAAAGTGAGAGGTAACAAAAGAACCAAGGGAAGATGGTATAGGAGAAGCCAAAAAGCAGAGGTTCAGGAATCAGAGAATGAAATGAAGAATGAAACTATAGAGAGAGGTCAAATAAAGATTAGGACAGAAGAGAGTCCACTGGGGTTAGCCACGTGGAAGACACTGCGAGCAGTTTCAGAGGAGGCTGGGGATGAGCTGGGAGTCAGACTGCAGTGGGCTGAGCAGACAGGTGGATGGAGAGTCAGCTCCTTCATGCTGCCCATGAAGAGAAAGGAACATAGTAGGAACCAGTGATGGAAAGCTGGGAAGGCTTTTGTTACTATTGTTGTTAAAATAAAATAGAAGAGATTGAATGTTTTGGACAATACGCTCCTTGTTTTTAATTTCTTTGGGGTTAAAAGAGTGTCATCTGCCACTGTCAAGTCTATCCCAGAGCCCTTGAAGCCTGGTCTGAACAAGAGTATACCGAGAGAAAACCATAATTCAAAAACAACACATGCACCCTATGTTCATATCAGCACTATTTACAATAGCCAGGACATGGAAGCAACCTAAATGTCCATCAACAGAGGAACGGAAAAGAAGATGTGGTACCTATATACAATGGAATATTACTCAGCCATAAAAAGGAACAAAATTGGGTCATTTGTAGAGACGTGGATGGATCCAGAGAGTGTCATACAGAATGAATTAAGTCAGAAAGAGAAAAGCAAATATCGTATCATAAAGCATATATGTGGAATCTAGAAAAATGGTATAGATGATCTTATTTGCAAAGCAGAAATAGAGACATAGACATAGAGAACAAATGTATGGACACCAAGGGGGGAAGGGGTGGGGAGGGAGGGCTTGGGAGACTGGGATTGACACATATACATTATTGATACCATGTATAAAATAGACGGTTTCTGGGAACATACTGTATAGCACAGGGAACCCTACCTAATATACTGTGGTAACCTAAATGGGAGGGAAATACAAAAGGGAGGGGATATCTGTATGTGTATGGCTGATTCATTCCGTTGTGCAGTGGAGGCTAACAGAACATTGTAAAGCAACCATACTCCAATAAAAATTAATAATGAGAAAAAAAGAAAACAAGTGCAACATCATCTAAAGAAAAACCCACTGGAAGCCCACAGTGGGAGCAGATGCGGCAGTTTTCCTTCTTTTTTGAAAACAGCAGTGCCCTCTGGAGGCAAGAATGTGTCTTCTCCCTGCATTTTTGGATTATACTTGGACTTGCAGCTTTTCCTGACACGTAAGAATAATCCTCCTGCCAATGCAGGTCACACGGGTTCGAGCCCTGGTCCAGAAAAATCCCACATGCTGCGGAGCAACTAAGCCCGTGAGCCACAACTACTGAACCTGCACTCTAGAGCCCATGAGCCACAACTACTGACCCCAGATGCCTAGAGCCCGTGCTCCGCAACAAGAGAAGCCACTGCATTGAGAAGCCCGCACACCACAACGAAGAGTAGCCACTGCTGGCCGCAACTAGAGAGCCTGTGCGCAGCAATGAAGAACCAACAAAGCCAAAAATAAAATAAATAAATATTACCAAAAAAAAAAAGAAAGAATGATGGTGCTCTGATGCTGTAGAGAGTCGCACAAAATTTTCCTATTGTAGAGGCATCAGAAATCATTTCAGAGGCCTAGAGGCAACTATGTGGAAACAAGTGTGGGCAACGGTGTCTTTAAGCATTTTTATTATTATTCTCCTCAAAATTCACAGTCTTTCATTCCTACCTGTTAGAAGGAAAAATTATTAAAATATGTTTTCCCACGGTCTCTGATTTTTATCCAGACAATCCCCTTTCTAATTCGATCAGAGATATTTATCACAAACTCAGGAACGTATGTCCTCCACAGGCATAAGCACAGTTCCCTCTCTTTGGACACCCTTCAGGGGTCTTCACTTACCCATAGGCTGGTTTTTTCCTCATTGCTCTTTGAATGCTGTGCTTAGTTTTACCATTTGGTATCATCATCCTCTTCTAAATATGTAAAAGCCTGCTTCGTCCTTTAAGGCCTGGCTCTAGCCTCACCTTCCTCATAAAGCTTTCCCTGCTGTAGCCCATACAGTTATTTCCCTTCTTTGAATCTCTCCGTAAAGGATAGAGGGTA